TGAAGTTGGCCTAAAAATGAACTTGACAAAAACAAAAACCATGTACAACGAGCTAGTGGATGTCCAAGATGTAATAATAAATAATACTGCACTGGAGACAGTAGACGAGTATATATACCTGGGACAATTAATACATAAATCTGGCTCATTACTCCCAGAAATCAACAGAAGAATGAAACTGGCTTGGGCAGCTTTTGGTAAAAATTCAGTTATATTCAAATCTAGGATGCCACTCCACCTGAAGAAAAAGGCATTCGATCACTGTATACTACCAGTCATGACATACGGCTGCGAAACTTGGACACTAAAGAAAGATATAATAGCTAAACTCAAAGTCACTCAAAGGTCAATGGAGCGATGCATGTTAGGTATAACCAAGAGAGATCGAAAAAGAATAGAATGGATCAGACAGAAAACGAAGGTCACTGATGTAATCCACCGAATAAAATCTTTAAAATGGCAGTGGGCGGGACATTTAGCAAGAAGAACTGACAATAGATGGTCCACTAGAATTACTCTGTGGTATCCAAGAGGCGTCAAGAGACCAAGAAGACGTCCAAATTTAAGATGGGACTATGACATAAGGAAACAAGCCAGTACAACATGGCACAGAAAAGCGAATATTAGACAGTCGTGGACAGACATGAAGAACGACTATGTAAGGGAGGCTGCACCATAATTGGTAGAATATGCTGATAATGATGATGATGATGATATAATATATATATATATATATATATAATATATATATATATATATATATATATATATACAAGAAATACTGGATATTATTGACTGTCGATATAAACAAATAAAACAGTTTATTAGGGTTGCAGTCAGAATATTGGCCGGGATGTTAAAAAAAAACACTCTTTTGACTTTTTTGTCGAGCTTTCGGAATGGTTTTATTCCTTTTTCAAGACACTGCAATAAGACAAAAATGTAAATATTTAAAAAATATCACAATTCTTCAGTGTAACTTACTAGTCGTTGAGATTATTTATATAAGCATTTACACTCAACATTTATAACACACATTAAAACATTAAAATATACAATTATTATGGACACAATACATTATAAAATAAAATAAAATAAAATAAAAATAAATAAAATAAAATTATTAAACCTATTATTATAAAAACCCTACTGTACTAAAATAACACCACACCTCGTCAACCCTTCCACCTGTCCAAATAAACTAGGACAAATTTCGACGTGTGCACACCAATCTCGCTAATTTTAGGGCTGCGACAGCCCCAATACATTATCTACCCGCTATAATTTGTGTAGATTTGTTTGTATAACGTTTTTTTTGTCATTTTAATACTTTAACCTTTTCGTTTGGGGCACCAGTAAACTCAAAAATGTGATACTGACATCTGGTAGTTGTTTGTAAATAAACCGAGACGAACATTTGTAAGTTGTAGATAGTTAAAATGTTTAGTGCTGACTCTGGAAGTGTGTCTAGACATGAAACTTTTATACGTATGCTTCTTATACGAGGTATAGTAGAAAAATCGTCCTTTTTCGTCTAGTATTGGTTCTTTCTTGATCGATTTTATCGATATTTCCTACAGTTGTTGTTAAGGCTAGTTTTCCTTACAAAAAAACAATCACTGGTTGTAGGAAGCGCTTATATAGATAGATTTGAAAAAGTTTCTCTTCAGACCAAATGTTAATGTCCTATTCCACTAGGTGGAAAAAGGATTAATTGATTACCCACAATAATATTGGTACATATTTTTTATAACTTTAATCAAGTGATTTGGGCCTTTTCATTCCGGATAGTTTCGAGGATTGAAGGCTCTTTCAATTCAAACAATGAATCTTAAAAAAAAAATAAAGCTATTAAAAATCAGTATGCAAAATCACCGAAAAGGTCATTTAATATATTGTAGAAACATCATTCTTACTAATGACAAATTCCAAGGTCATTGTGCTAAGACAATAAACTATAGTCCTTTTCCATCATATTGATAGCACATTATGTATGCAAATCCTCAACAGGTCAAAAAATCATAGGCGTCACCCTATACTTGTTTTGAAATAAATAAAAAAATTAATATTTTAAGATGACGTCAACAATTCATTATCTTTTAAAAAATCTTCTGTAAAATAAGTGTCCACTAATCTCACTATACCTTTTTTGTGCGTAAAAAACGTCGGTATATATGCCACACGATTATTGTTAATTATACACGGGTGATTAACGAGAGAATTCAATGTTTCACGAAATAAATTAATGTAAACAGTAATTTAAAGGTGATTATTGTTTTCTATACAAGTTATCACCTGACACAAAAAGAATACCTTCTTTTGAACGATTACCTGGAATTACTGATAAGGCTTCACAAATGATAGTTTAAGTAGTTTTTATGCCACCTTACAGCTTATGCCAATAATATAAATTAGAAATTGTTTGCATCTTCCATTTAGTTTGTAGATGTACATTGTTCATGTCTTACCTACCTACGTTTTTGGTGTCGATATTTTGTTATTTGCATTTAAAAATGACGTCGACAACGGTTAAGTGTAGTTTTAAAGGCGCCTTCAGTCTAAGAGAGAAAAATATAATATTAAATGTACACGATGCACTTGTACATCAACGCCCTTTAAGTAATGTTTGTGAAATCGTTAACATGTGTTCAAATATGACAGGGGTTGGAGAAGCAACAATTTATAGATTCCTAAACGACAAAAAAGGAGGAACTGTTTCATCTCCCAAGAAGAGTGGAGGGAGTAAACCCTTGGAAATTGAAGAAATACATAAAAACATGATAAGACGCAGCGTCCACTCATTTTTTTTAACAAAGAATTTCCAACATTAGTCCAACTTGGTAACTCCAAGAGTTACCAATCATAAGCAACAAGAAATTATGGGGACTATTGAGAGAGATGAGATTTCGTTGGCAAAAGAATAGAAGAAAATCCGTTTTAATTGAAAAAGATTACATTGTATGTTGGAGACGAGATTATCTAAGAACTATTAAAAAGTACCGAGAAGAAGGGAAAACAATTTTTTAATTGGACGAGACTTGGCTAAATGAAGGTATTCCGTCAGGCATTCATCGAAGGTGTATCTACTGGAATAAACAATATTCCCGTTGAAAAAGGACGCAGACCCATAATAACCCATATTGGAAACGAATACGGTTTTATCAATGGCGGATTATTAAGTTTTGCCTCAAAATCAACCAAAGATTACCACGAGGAAATGACTGCTGACGTTTTTAAAGAATATTTTGAGCAAATGTTGGATTTAATTCCAAAAAATTCTGTCATAGTCATGGATAATGCTAGTTACCATTCAAGACTAGCAGAAAAATTGTCAACAACGGCATGGAAAAAAAGGAGAGATAATCGAATGTTGGATAAACACGCAATTGACTACAAGGAGAATTCGACAAAAAAGGAATTATGACCTATTGTAAGGCAACATTAAGCAGCTTATAAAAAATATATAATTGATGAAATGGCATTAAACCGTGATGTAATTATTTTACGTTAACCCCCATACCACTGTGATCTGAATCCGATAGAAAATATATGGTCTCAAGTAAAGGGTAAAGTCGGACGCAACAACAAAACTTTTAAATTAGAAGACTTACAACAATTATTAGAACATTCCTTATCAAAAGTAACTCCAGAAAATTGGAAAAATGCTCTTAGTCATTCTCACAAGGAAGAAAATAAAATGTGGGATTTGGATAATATGACTGATGCAATGCTGGAACCGGTAATAATTAACATCGGAGTTGAAGATTCCTTAGATTCTGAAAAAAGCGGTGAATTTGAAATGGAATTTGATTAAAATAATATTCATTTTTTTTATAAATCGGCTCCTGTTACGGCCCCAAATTATTTTATATATAACCAATAAAATAAACATCTTACATTTCTTGCAAATTCATTAGTACCTGTTAATCTCCATCACTCCAACACTGGCAACTTTATTTAGGGATTAGTAACCCTCAAAACTATTGTATCCTATTCTGCTTTAACCTTTATACCTGGTGGTCATACTCAATTTAAAATTGTTTTCCTATATTCTTCTGTAAACTTGTTGACAAATATCTATTTTTCATTGAGTCACCCGTATCAACAGTTTAGGGATTTGCATACATAATGTGCTATCAATATGATGGAAATGGACTATAGTCTAAGACACCGTTAAGTTCTTTTGGATACTTCTGTACAAAAATATAGGAGAGTATTGTTACAATCTTCAAATTGGGGTGACATATTAGTATAAAACTTACTTCAAATTAAAAAATAGCTAGTAATTAATACAGCAATATTTCTGATAGTAAGTATACCGTTATTTGTAATTAAAAATGTTTTAACATTAACAATATTATTAGAGTATACAAAATTGGTAACTTCAGAGTATTGTTACGATAAATAATGACTCACAAAACTGTAAACATCCTTTTTCATTCAAGTCTTTTTTAGATCATATACCAGCTGGCAGAAATTTCTAGTAAGAAGATCCACGGTCTCCCTGAGCTAAAACCCTTTTGGCTCCAAGACGCTCGAGTAAGTTCTGGAAGGTCACTGCCGCTTCGAGATTAACGGTGCTTGATATATAAAGAGGGAATTTTATTAAACACAAGGAGTTCTAGTTTTGAATATCGAGTTTAAATTGTAAGCCGGAAATAAATATTGTGAAATAAATTAGTGAATATTGTATAATAAAGACTTTAATAAACTTTTTATAAGTGTAGAACCTTTGATAATAAAATAAAGACAATAAATTAGATAAATAAAAATAGCACAATATGTTGGAAGTTGGAGATGGGATTTAAGTGTTCATGCTTTTTATCACCAAAAAAACTCAAGATTGAACCATTTGTCTGGTTTAAAAATTTCCCTTTTACAATACCTGTTTTGCGATTACTTAGCTGTTTACTTTATATAGAAATATTATTCGCTAAAATTGGCAAACTACTATTTTTTCGATGGTTATATATTAATGTTTAACAGAAATAGGAACTTACCAAACACGGGGCTGTGATCTGGTCGCTGGACATGTTTGCTGGTAGGATGGTAGTTTCCTGTTCCGGACTTTTCCTACAAACGATTAAAAATTGTTCAAATCAGTTTCATCAATTTTTCCAAAATATATCTTTTTATATAAAAAAAACTATTAAAAAAAAATACAGCCGCCCTAAACTGATTTCGCTCCGAATTGTAAAATAACAAAGCATTTGATTACAAATATGATTAATGATATTCATAATGATTACAAATAACCAGCCGACGCGACGTCGAAATGACTTTGTAACAAACGGTTTTCTAAAATATCTACTAATGTAGTGGATTACATTCAAAATTTTTCTAGTTTGCTAGAAATTCCAATCGTTGTTTTTCGTAATTGAGAAAGAAGTCTTAGAAGTAAAAAGTTATGACCAAATGACACATCTGATCATTAACTGATTTATACAATAAATTACTATACAAAAAAGGGTTCAAATGTGGTAAGGATGAGCAAAATATTAGTAGTAGTAGACAAATTAAAGAACAATAAATCTAGAGGCTACTGAAAAAAGGATGAGACGCATCACTCAAAACAATAGGTACCTACATGAGTTGAGGTACAAATATATGGTTGAATAAGCAGTTAAGGTAAAGGCACCGATCCCTGACAGTGAACCAAAGGATGACACTTACGAAAAAAAAAAACTATTATAATAAGAATGTTTTTATTCTTAGGCCAATAATATCTGTGACAGAGACTCCTAGCGACATATGTATAATGGATGAGGCAATAATACAATCAACTTCCTGCTTAAAATGGCAAACTATAGTCAGTACAGTTGTTGTTTACATGTGACAAAGCAAAGAGGTTCTGCTACACTGAATCAGACAGAAGCAGCTATTCAGGAATGCAGGCGAGGTTTGCGAACTTCAACTGCAACAAAAAAATTTGGTGTGCCAAGAGTAACTCTTCTGAACAAAGTAAAGGACAAAAAACCAATAAAACAAAATCCATTCAAATGATCCATTCAAAGTTGGTAGACCTGGAAAAAAATGGTATAGCAGTTTTTTTAAACGACATTCAGATCTAATTGTACGACAACCTCAAAATTTGTCTTCATCTAGAGTTTTTTCCAGATGAAGGTCTGAGTATAAGTTCAGAGACATTGCCACAGACATCTAAACAATCAACACTAGAATGCCCATCAAATAAATCATCTAAAATGTTAATACCTAGTCGCTTTAATTTTCGTCAACGCCTAAAGTAAATTCAAAAAAACGGAAAAAAGAAGAAGTCCCCTCTGTCATATCGTCGCATGCAGGGCAAAAATATCATGAGAGCAAAGAGAGAGAAAAGATTGAATTAAAAGAGAAAAAGAAACGAACTGAGGAAAGAAAAAGAGACGGAAGAAGCACAAAAACTTAAGACTATTGAAAAATTAACAAAGAAGAACCAAAAGATTTTGAATAAAAAATCTAAGACTGATTATAGCTCAAGTACTGAAGAAGAATGGTTAGAGTCTAGAAATAGTATGGATGACATATCTGATGAATTTTATGATGACCATGATGATGAAGAAAATGAGTATGTAGAGCAAGAGGAGTACCAGCAGACAAGTATTACTATTAAGCAGAGTGATTATGTACTTAATTGTTAAGATTCCTGGCAAGAAAAAATTTCTCAAATATGTTTGTATAATCCACAATTACAAAAGATGATAATATTAAAGTTATGGTGATGAAAGCATGTGACCAGTCTAAAACGTTACTTAAAGAAAACGATCAAGATATTAGTATCATGAGTATTTCCAAAATCATAACGGTTCTTGACGGATCAGAGATTATTATTATGGGTGATAGAATTAAGTATACATTTGCAAAATCTTAAGATTATATTTGTTTTATTGATTGCAATAAGGCGTTCGATAAGGTGTGACACAACCGTCTTATACAGTTAAGGAAAGATAAATACATTGACAAAAAATACTTAAGAATAATAACTCATCTCTACTTCAACCAAATAGCAAAAGTCAGAGTAGACAAAGAACTTTGGGATGAAGTAGAGATAAAAAGAGGCGTAAGGCAAGGTTGCAGACTCTCCCCCTTATTGTTCAATCTATATTCGGAAGAAATAATTAAAAAATCACTCGAAAATGTAACAATTGGAATCAAAGTCAACACCAGACCCATCAACAATATCAGAAATGCCGATGATACTATACTAATTGTAGAGAATATACAAGATCTACAGACACTTTTACACAATGTAGTAAATGTTAGTGAGGAAAGCGGACTAACGCTTAATGCTAATAAAACAAAATTTATGACTATTTCCAAAACACAACAACAAGACATTTTAAACATAAGAGGGGATCCAATAGAAAAAGTAAAAAAATACAGATATCTTACTACAATTATTAATGAAAATATCGAGTATACAGAAAAAATAAAAATGAGAATTGGACAAGCTAGAGCAACATTTAATAAGATGAGAAAATGATTATGCAGTAGAGACCTTAGTTTGCAACTCAAAATAAGAATATTACGTTCATATGTGTTTTCGGTGCTGCTGTATGGGGTGGAGACCTGGACCTTAAAGAAAGAGGTGAGTGATCGACTTGGAAGCATTCGAGATGTGGGCCTACCGAAGAATATTCAAAATAAGTTGGGTAGACCGAATAACAAATGTTGAGGTCCTCAGAAAGATGACAAAGGATATGGAAATGAATATGAGAGAGGATAAATATGTGTTGCTACAAACCATAATGCAGGGAAAAATACAGGGAAAACGAAGTATTGGAAAAAGTCGCATCTCCTGGCTAACAAACTGAGGAAGTGGTATAATTGAAGTTCCGTCGACTTATTCAGAGCTGCAATCTCAAAAGTAAAAATAGCTGTGATGATTACGAACCTATAGTAGTAGTATATCAAAAGATGTTCACTTTTAATTCGTTTTATTCAATGTTTATTTTATATTAAGGTATACTCATATGTTAACATTAGTATTAATAGATAGGTGTCAACTAATGGTGATTTGATTTTTCGGTGTCATCTTTTGGTTACTTAGACATAGACTTAAAAAACACATTTTGATTTCATTTTTGTGGATTATGGGGGTTTTTGTCCCAAAATATTGTTTTGTATGACCCACTGTACTAGTATAAAAAGTTATTCATTTTTAGTTACAATAAAGTATTTTACTTTCCTTTTTGATGTTTGATCACATTTGATGTTTACATCAAAAAGGAAAGAGGCTCTAAACATGAACGATACAATATAGAAGGACTCAAAGAAACAAACAAAAATAGAGAGTACAAAGAAAATATAAGCATCAAACTAGAAAACAGACTAAAACATGAAAACCTAAATGAGGAGTGGGAAGAGTGTAGAGAAATCATAAAAGAAACAGCTAAAGAGGTGTTGGGCATGGAAGGTAAAGAAAGAAGAACAAGAACGAATCACGAAGAATGTCAAACTATAACAGAAAGAAAAAACAGAGCATATTTACAGATGCAACAGAGGCACAGAACCCGACAAGCAGAGGAAGAATATAAAAACTACGTAAAGAAGAAAAGAAAATTCACCGAAGAAAGAAGAGAGAATATATCAACAAAGAACTTCAAGAACTACAAGAACTAAGTAAACCAACAGAGACAAGAAAATTTTACCAGAAACTCAACAAAAGCAGAAAAGAGTTCAAACCGAGAACAACGATGTGTAGATAGGGAGATAAGGAGGGTAATATATTGACAGAACAGCAAGAGATACTTAGAAGATGGACAGAACATTTTAAGGAAAAGCTTGGGGTGAATAAGACGGAGATGAACCCTGATATACCGTTAGACCAAGCAGAAAACAGAGAAAAGAGTCCACCAACAATAGCAGAGATTAGAACAGCAGTGGACAAATTAAAGAACAATAAATCACCGGGATCGGATCAAATATCATCGGAGCTACTGAAAGAAGGAGGAGACGCATTACTTAAAGCCATACATGAGCTGATAAGAAAGATATGGTTGAATAAACAGCTACCAAAGGAGTGGAATAGGGGCATTATTGTACCACTACATAAAAAAGGAAACCAGTTAGAATGTGAAAACTACCGTGGAATCACGCTGTTGAATGCGGCATACAAAATAATGTCCAACGTAATGTACCATACTTAGACTTAGACCATACGCTGAAAAAATAGTTGGCAAATACCAATGTGGCTTCTGTAAACAGAAGTCAACAATAGACCAGATATTTGTTCTGCGACAGATCCTTGAAAAAACAAGTGAATATAACATCGACACACATCATCTCTTCATAGACTTCGAAAGCGCATATGACAATATAAACCGAGAATTCCTAACAAAAGCAATGAAAGAATTTAATATACCAACACAGCTAATAGAATTGATAAAAGAAACACTAAAAGTAGAAAGTAAAATCCGGATACAAAACGAATTAACGGAAACAATAGATGTGAAGAAGGGACTACGCCAGGGAGACGCTCTATCATGCATATTATTCAACAGCATACTTGAAAAAATAATAAGAGACACAACAGTTAATACCCGAAGAACAATAATTAATAAATGCGTGCAAGTACTAGCATTTGCAGATGATGTTGACATAATCGCAAGATCAAGAAGAGAAATGATAGAGGCATTCACTCAAATAGAACGAGCTGCAAAAAATAGTGGTTTTAAAATCAATCAGACAAAAACAAAATATATGCCTGCAAATAAAAACGCACAGATAAGGCAGCTGCCAAATTTAACAATAGGAGAATACAACATTGAGGCGGTAAAAAACTTTACATACTTAGGATCCCTAGTTACGTCTTATAACAACGTTGCAAAGGAAGTGAAGAGGAGAATATTTATTGCCAATAAATGTTACCATGGCTTAATTAGGCAACTAAGATCAGATAACGTCTCCAGAAAAACAAAATGCCAAATATACAAAACCTTAATAAGACCGGTACTCACATACGGTTCAGAAACCTGGACACTCTCTAAAAGGGAGGAAACGTTATTAGCCACCTTTGAAAGAAAAATCTTGCGACACATATATAAGGGCACAAAAGAAAACGGGATTTGGCGGAG